TCTGTGACGTATAAAATTAGTATTTTTGACTGAAAAATAATATGTGACTAATTCAATTATAAATATGTGACCGGAATGATTGCCGGAATGGTCGTCGGAATCGGAGCAGTCGCCGGAGAAGAGTGGTGGTCGGAATGGTCGTCGGAATAGTCCCCGGAGCGATAGGGGTGGTGCATGTGGGGTGAGTTTATTATATTATATTAGAATTAAAAAAAAACTAATTTTTGAATTTTCAAACTATAAATCCGATTTTTGAATTGGTGTAAAGTAAACACCTTATTTATGAATTTTTCNNTGAATTGGTGTAAACTAAACACCTAGAGACAAAATGGGCCGATAAAACCCAGTTTGATTGACATATTCGATATGTATGTTCAAACTTAAAGAGTCGTTTGTGGGAATAATTTAAGGGAAACATAAATAATTACGAACATTTAAAGATACAATTTCAAACTTATCGATTTCTTTCAAAAATCAGGTGGTATTAATTAAATAGATAATTGAATAGAATAAAGTCACAGTAATATATAATTTATGGCAATAATTACGTACTGGTTACACATCACATAACGTCACAATTACAAAAATATAAAAATGTGGATCACAATTGCAAATTTAATCACAAATCACAACATATTTAGTAGTCACAAATTATTTAATGAACTGATCACAACTATCCCATTAAATGGTTTCAAATTATCCTTTACCTCCCTCACCCTACCCTACTCCACTCCATCACCGCAGGCCCCATACAAAACGGCGTTGTCACCTCAGATCCACTACCACCTCAAATTCACCCGGACCTTCATCTCCAACCAACCACACATACATGCACAAATCATGGATTTAGCATCGTCACCATCGCCACCATCTCCATCGTCACTATGGCCATGTTATTCTCTTAGCATAAACCACATCATTTCTATTTATTTATTTTTAAAAACAAATATAATACTATATTGGAATGAGTAATGCTATTTAATATCACTAGTGTTAAACACTTGTTTAAATGACGCTAAGTGATAAGTTTGATGAATAAGTATGGGCATGTTTGAGCCCCATTTTTTTTAAAAAAATGTATTTTGAAATAGTATACTGATGTAAAATGTTTGGTTAAAAAATAAAGAAAAGTTTTGAATTCGCATGTAATATTATTTTATTGAAGAATATATAGTTGAAAAAAAGAGAAAAATGTATTTTAAAAAAAATGGGGATCAAACAAAGACTATATCTTCTATATATTAAAAGTGGCTATGTAACGGTATTTCTTATTTTTAACGGAAAAACTAACGGAATTTGTTGATATAACGGACTATGTAACGGAATTTCTTGTTTTAAACAGGCAACTGCACCTACTTTCAGTATTTTTATCATAAAGTTATATTCCGATATTCTATTGAGGTGATGCAAAATGCGTTGGAAAGCTAACTCATCTGGCTACAACTTTAATTAAGAAATAATTCTCCCATTCGATCACT